ACGTGGGGAGAGCGCTTCCCCGCCCGCCCCCGGGAACCGGCCCGGCCGCCGGCGGGAGCCCCGTCCCGCCCCGCCGGCCCCGCCCGCACGCCGCTCCCACGGGGCATCCGCCGCTCCCGGGGGCTGTGCCCCCCCGGCCCGCACACACCGCCGAAAGGGCTTCCCACCCACCCGCTGGAGCCCTCTCAGTTCCAATGGCCGCGCTCTCTCTTGGCTGGGCGGACAGCCTGGCTCTGAATGTGAGGAAGAACTTCACTGTGCGGGTGACTGCGCACTGGAACAGGTTGCTTAGAGAGGTTGTGGAGTCTCCCTCACTGGAGAGACTCAATAACCATTTGGATGCAATCCTGTGCCATGTGCTGTGGCATGACCCTGCTTGGGCTGGGAGGTTGGACCAGATCACCCACTGTGGTCCCTTCCAACCCCACCCATTCTGTGATAGGTATTTGTCCCCTGGGCAGGGCATCAAAGAGGTCACCCTTCTCCGCATTCTGTGTGGATGGGTGTCTATAAGTTTTGGCCTGTGTTCAGTTTGGGTATCACAGCTATACCACCACATGCAGCCACGTTACCTGACTGAAGCTAATTGGTGATTGGTACAATTAAAAAGGTACAATGGAGAAGTACAATTCTGGTTTGGACACAACATTTTATTGAATCAAAGGATGGTGAAGCACTGGAACAGACTGCCCAGCGAAGTTGTGGATGCCCCATCCCTGGAAGTGTTCAAAGCCAGGTTGGATAGGGCTTTGAGCAACCTGGTTTATTGGAACGTGTTCCTGCTTATGGCAGAGCCGGGTGGAAGCAGACAATCTAACGTCCCTTCCAACCCAAACCAATTCTGTGATTTATGAAGTATGCATGCAGACACAAAGCACTGCTTACACATTGGTTGCTTGTCAACCATAAACTGATACAAACTCCTCAGAATATTCAAGATGTCTGTGCTTAAAATCCCAGAGCAGCTAGTGCACTTCCTGCTTCCTTGCAACCCCATCAGGACTCTAACATAGGTCCCACAATAAATAGGACTATAAAAAAGCTCTACATGACAGAAGAGGAATTTCTTCAGCATAAGGAGCATTGTCATGATTCAGCATGTCTCACATCCATAATTTATCATGATAACAGGAGAACAATACTACAGGTCGTTTTGGGGTGGGGGAGCAGATTTAACTTTACAATGAGGAATTGCAAAGAGATAAATGTCATTCCCTGCTTAAGAATATCAATGGAAGAGACATGCCATGCATTCTCAACCCTTGATCTGCCTACATGTAGGGAAAAAAAGCCACCAGAAAGAGTCTCCTGAAGCACACCTTCTTCCTCTCAGCCCAGCTGCCTCTCTCCCTTTGCTAAGATTCACCAAGTGGTAGGATAATACCCTGTTGTCCTCTCTTCTCTGATCCCACAGGCACTGGTTGGGATATCCAACACCTTAGGATCATGTACTAACAATTCCTTGTGACAGGAGCTAACATGCTGTCCTAGTTAGAACAGCTGGGACCAGTTCATCATTGTATGGGTGTAACCCAAAACTGTGTATTCTATAGCCTTCCGTGCCATTTCCCAGAAACTGTTATCAATGAACCATTTACACCATCTGCCCAGAGCAGCCTGACTCCTCAGGCTATAAACTAGGTGTTAAGAGGCCTGCGAGATAGGAGAGTGGTCTTGTCCTCACACCCATTGAGGAACACCCCCGCCCTGAGGGAGGTACTGGGCATTCCTGCCTAAACTGGATGATAATCTTGGAGTCTTGGGACTTTTTTAACCACTCGTGGGGTCCAGAGGAAGACTGCAGATCACCACTCTCAACCAGACTGAGACCACCACTCTCGACTGCACTGCAACCACCACTTTTCAACCAGACTGGAACCAGTACTCTTGACCAGACTGCAACAGCACTCTCACCAACAGGTTTTCCCCTCTCCTTTTACTTTGGACTCAGGAGACCCAAAGAACATCACTCTGTTCGTGCCCCAGGGTGCTGGGTTATGCATTTGGCTTTTGTGGGTTAAAACCAATTGTTTGTCTGTATAATCATACTTATTGTATTATTTTATTAAATTGTTATTCTGACTTTTAATCTGTCTTTTGAATTGAGTTCATTTCCCCAGCACACATGCTGAGAACATGCAAGTGTGAATGATGAAACGGGTTCCAGAATTAAAGCTAAGGAGGATGTTACAGGTTCTCTAAGGCAAAAAAGTGTCAAAAACACCATTAGAAAGGGTATGTGGGGAAACAGCCAGTAACTGAAGCATGTTTGATTAGTTTTAATAGATGGAAACTGCAGAAATACAGTAAGTAACACATTTGTGAGGGATAATAGCAAGTAATAAGATCATCAAATGAGATGGTTTCTGAAACTAGTATAAATCGTTTCTCCAATAGGTGTCAACACAGGAAAATAGCAATACAGAGATCACCTGAGAAGGAACCAAGTAGATGCTCTGTTGCAAATGATGATCTCAGTGAGCCAGTATCCTAAAGATTAATAAAATAATAGGATTATGTTTCCTGAAAAGTTTGTTTGCTTGGGATGTTTGCAAAGCTCACTCAAACTGCTCTGTAAAATCTGTAGTCGCATAGTATCTGAACAGCATCTGATTTAAAATAAATGTTTGAACTTGCATAATTTGAATTTGAATGTAGAGCCTTCCTGTTAGTGGTGGCATATACTAGGAGTACTCAGGACAGGAGCAAAAAGGGTATGGAGGAACAGAAATAACCACCCTGAGATAAACAGCTGTTAGTACATGAAGACAAGGGAGCGAGGGAAAAACCTTTTAAATGTAACTGCATTGTTTAGATGACACTGAAAGAAGCTGCACCCTTCACCACGTTGCACTCACATGGTGAGCTGCACTCACAGGGGTGCACTGCTTTTAGGCCACAGCTACACCCTGTCTGGCCATCAGGGACCCTGGGCAGAGCTGACTTGGGGCTGCTTGTGAAAGGTCATGTAGACAAACCTGCCATGGGGCAGTATGTGCTGTACTCTCTAAAGTCTGGAAACAGATGATGATTTTGTTTAGTTTCTGGCAAAAGATGACTTGTTGGGCTCTCCAGTGTTTCACTGGGATGAGTCAAACCAATGAAGAAAGAATGAGGATGGTGACAAGCTGATAGTCAGCTTAGAAAGCATGGAAATCAAGGTGGCTGGATGCAGGGAACGTCCAGAAGCTGAGGTTGCTTCCCTCTTCCACACTCACAGAAGAACTTCAAAGCTTCCTATGCCGCTCACAAGTAACAGTTTCTGTTTACAATTTATAAGTTTTAGTACACCCTCTGCTTCTTCTGGACATCCCAATTAAAGCAAATTCCAGAATATCCTGCCTTCTGTTTAAATACAGACTTTGTGATTGCAGTCTAGATCTTTGCCATTTGTAATCTAGATTCCTGTAACATACTGCACAAAAGTTATCGTTCAGAAACTGCAGCTGCAGAAAGAAATGGCTGCCGACTTCCCAGCAGAACTTCTCAATGGAGAGCTCGTAGTAGGAGCTCCTTGCACTTAGAATTTACTTCTTAGGTCTGATTTCTTACTTTTGTCCCTGGTTAAGTTTGTCTACTCCCTGTATTTCTAGATTTTTGTAGCAGTCAGTCATTCAGCCCCTACAGAATGCAGCCCTTCCCAAATTACCCCCAAACATCAGCATGCGTTTCCTCCTCCCAGAACAGCAATGTGATGCTAAATAGTCTCTTTCTAAAGTTTTTTTTTAAAACCAACAAAGCCATGGGGCTTTCCAGTTTGATCTGGACAGCTCAGTTTAACCTTTATGTGGCAACAGTGAAGGAAGTGGTGAGGAGATCGAGCACTCCATGTGTATTATTAAAAAATGCTTTTGCCACTACAGTCATCCAGGAGGTAGATGTAGCAGCTTTTTAGCCAGACTCTACTACCAGCAGCGTAAAGCAGTCACTGGGAGGATCTGTACCAAAACATACAGTATTTACTAGTCTGTCTTCTTTTGACAAATGGATAACTTAATATATGGGGTTTTTTCCTGTTAAGTGAAATCCATAAAATATAAAAGATGTTCACTGGAGTAAAGATGAGTGCATTAGGAATTCACTGGTAGGGAGATGTAATATATTAGCCTTTCCAGCAACAGTGAAGGAGAACTTTACATGCCAAAACCCCTGGAATAAGCAGTAAATGAACATAGTGCTTCCCTAGCTCTGCTGACTGAATTAGGAATTAATCTAGAATATGACTCAGGCCTGTAGGCTGTGTTTTGGAACTCCACAATCAAGAACCCATAAAGCTATAGTAAACTACTTACTTGTCCTCTCACTCAGGAGAGAGTGAGAGAAACCCGATTTGGGTAATTTTCTTAGGATTTTCAACTTTCTGGTTTTTATACTTCACTCATGCAACATATACAGACACATACACAAAAAAACCCTCTTCTTCCAAGTTGAGGAATGGTTTCTTAGAGGCCTTTTTTCTGTCCTTATATATGTACTCTTTACCCAACTAAAATATTTCTTGAGCATCTGGCAAATAACTGCTGGCACTCTTTTTTCACAATTGAAAAGAGATTCACTTGACCAGCTTGGCCTCAGCTGGAAGCTCACCACAGATGAGGCTGGATCTAGCACCCTGGAGTGGGCCAGCTGCCATGTAATATTTCCAGTTCTCCACCCAACATGTCTCCACTGTAAACTATGGAATAACATCACCTCTGCACAGTTTCCCATTGGTTTCATGTGGAGGTCAATAAAGCTATCACAATCCCAGTTATGGGGGAAGAAACTGGAATGCTTTATTGGACTTACAAATTCATATTTAAAGGACTTAGGGTCTACATATTCAACAGGAGGCTTGCATGTTCATTGGGGGGGCAGAACTATTACAATTAGGGACTTTACAAGGATGTGGTAAAGGGGAAATCCTAAATTACAAACTTTTGGGTCTTAGCACTTACATCATAGGGGAAAACCCATCTTATCTTGGGGGAATTCAGGTTTACAGAATGCAAGGATCTAGGGAACACAAAGTGAGAGATAAGGTACAATAGGTCGTCTGCACAGGTTTGATGAGATCAGGGCATGGTTTCTCCGGGCTTGGGCAGGACATTCCAAACATGCCGGTTCTGAATGCCCAGTGTTTGATAAAAACTGCTGAAAATGACTGTGGTATTCACAAACCCATTTTCTTCCAAAATGTATTTTTTAGGGTTGGCCTTCACTTTCATAGAAAGTTTCACAAATACATGGAAACAGCATAGATAAACACAAACACATCCCAGTTAATGTTCCCTAACAATGATCTATCCAGTTGTTTTATCTAACAGTTACAGGTCCCATCTCTGATCATCAGTGAATCTTTGGAATCCTGTATCTCTCCTAGGCATGAGTAGGATGCTAGGACTGCCCACGCAGAGATGCTGTGGTTCAAAATTAAATCTCATGCCCCTTCCAATTCCCTGTGCTCACTGGCTGTGCAACCACAGTGGAAGTGGGGCATCCCAGTGTAGCAAGTACAGCCCAGCCCAGCCCTGATAATTTAAGAGTGCAGTTGCAAGCTAACCCCTGATGAGTTAAACCCAGACATTCAGCCGAATAATCAGGCCAACAGACCATATTCCTAAATTATCACAGGGCAGCTCCAAATCTGTCACATCCAGTTTCTTTTCTGACTTGTAAAAGGCCAGAAATATCTTTCTGCAGCAGCACAAGTAACCTCATTGGGTATTAGACTCATTTCAAGGAACTCGGGAATTATCCAGTGGGGACCACAGCTTCTGTTGATGAATCTCAGTAATCTCAGGAACTATAAGGTAGGGGGTATAGTTGTGTTGCTTACAGTTAGAAATTCAGTAATAACTGATTGCTTAGCTCCCTACCTCCCTAAAGCACTTCCCTCGCCTCTGTCTCTTTATGTTATGAGGGTTTCCTACTTGGGTTCTTAGTGTCAATGCTGTTGGTAGAACAAAATGAAGCACTGCAAACTCCTGTTAATGTATGTACAGAACAGTGTTTCTCAAGTCACCTGGATCCACTGGGAAACTGCAGCCCACCAGAATGAGCTTCTGCCCTGACTTCATTCCAGAAGAGGGACTTCCTAAACTTCTTTTTGAGGGAGAATGGAAGAGGAAAAAGAATGTTGCTTTAACAGTCACTTACAGATTCAGTAGCGATGGTAGTAGGTGAATGTACATGGAAAGGAAGTCCCAGGTGATATCTTCTCACTTCTCTAGTGTGAAACTTTAGCTGCAAGGAGAATCAAAGTTTGATTTTAACAAAAGATTCCCAGGTTTCAGAATGTGCTTCCATTCAGATTAGGAAAAAGTTTCTCCAATTTTAAAATATTTTGTAAAGAAAATTTTTGGGACATAGTCTGATTAGATTAAAAACTATGCTTTCAATGCGAATAATTTGTTTGGATTTTGATCTTTCATTTATTACTATAGTAAATAAAGGCTATACTGCAACATGAAATACTTAGAATTTTTTTTGTCCAAAAAATATGTAAAAGACATTTACTGAATTACCAGAACTTTTACTTCAACTTCACATTTTTCTGAAGCATTTTTAATTTAAGAAAAAAACAAAATTCCCCAAACCTCTTCAGGTTACAAAGGAAGATGGTCATTATGGTCATTACCTCATTACCAGTATTCCTACTAGACACCTCCCTTGCTGACCCCACCTGTTTTTCAGTTATGCCTTCACAAACTGTGCCATTTTTTGCCCATAGATCTTTGACTGAATACCCACAGTAAGGTACGTTTTGTTCTGTTCTTATTCTCACTGAGTGTCAGAGGTTTATTTCGCCTCTTGTTGACAGCAGATCACATTAAATTACAAAGAACAGTCCAGGACCAAAAGTGCATTCTTTTTCACTTCTGTTCTCAAAAGTAACCATAGAATGGAGTTATGCAATACAATGACATATTTTTTCCTAGTGATTTTAAGGTCAAATATACTCAGTTTAATGTAAAGGGTGTTTTTTAAAGTGTTATTCTATCTGTTAAGCTACTGCAACTTGCAATTTAAAGCTCATGATATTCCTTCCCAATCAACAGTACTCCTAATGTACCCTTAGTTTTGACCAGAAAGTCCCTTTCTTTCAGCTTAGAGTTTCAGGGGTATCTATGTGAATCACATCAAGGAATCAGTTGGGAAGAATAGAATCTCTCACTTAATTTTAAATATTGTGTACATTCAGAAATGCCCTACTTTGCACACAGGCTTTACATCTGTGTGAGGGATTTGCATCAGTGTGACTAAATTAATTTTGCTGCATCATTGCATATTTGCCTCATGTCAACAAGGCCTTTACTGTTGGCTATGCTGAACTAACAAGAATAAAAAAGTAGCATCGAAAACTTTCTTTAAGGTCATTTGAAAATAGGATTCTGACTATACATACAGGGAAAATAAGAGGGGTTTGTTTGCTTTTATATATTGCTACTTTTACAGAGTTGGTTTTCAATGAAGCAAAGCTTATTACAAAACACAAAGTCTATCTATTTGAACCAAAGGAGCACGCTACAAATTTCCTGGCAAAAAGATAAAATTATTCTTATCATAGGTACTAAAATTTTATTTGCAGTAGCAACTAGTTAGTAAATAAAATGTTTACCTCTTCAAAAGTCTCTGAGCTATTTTGAGTTTCTCTCTTGTTGTGTCCCAAATGTTGTCCCCACAACTAAACCAGCCCCACAGTAGAAAACAGGCACCAGGACCAGCTGGAGCCAAACCAACTCTTATGTTTTATTATGCAACTTCTCTGAACAGCCCTGAATAGAGGGTGGGACAACTAAATAGAGGATAAACAAGTCACAACCCCGTGTAAAACCACAGTGGATAGACATAAGACTCTGTTATTTGGAATAACACCTTCCAAGCTCTCCATCTATCTATGTCTGGACAGACATCAGGACTGCTGCACATAAATTTCAAGGCTCTTGCCTTGCCTCTCAGCTATGAAAGCCTTCTTTGCCATAGGAGGCATGGCAATATGACTCATTTGAGCCCCAAGCCTTAAGGGATGAGATATTCCAAGCTTCTCTCCAATTTTTTCTTTCTACAGTCACTATTTTTGGTATTAATTCTTAGGGGATTATATGACAATGAAACTATTCATGGTATTAATGCTTAGGGTATTATATCATAATGAAATTAAAGGGAATAGATTACATGTATAGGAACTTTGGATAGATAATATCTAAATCTCACACACTTTACTCTCAGTTACCTCAAGACATTATGTATCTAGGCAAATACTGAAGATCTAAGAGCATTTCCTTCTCAAATTCCTTTTGTTTGGTTAGTATCTGGCAGAGAAGGGTGGGAGACAGGCAAAGTTCACTTTGCCTTTGCTTTTCCACATGCAATTTCCAGCTGTACAGAAATTCTTTCCTGGGGTTATGATATGACATACAACTCTTTTGGCAGCTTGCCAGTGATGACATGGTGCCACTTTATCTGCTCAAATGTTCAGTCATGGCCTGAACATAGTACTGCTATGTGTTCCAGTTTGTTTGATGGGGCAGGAGGTTATCGTTCTTTGGTTGACTGCTGGAAAGAAAATCTTTAAAAGTCAATGACTATACCAGTGGCAACTCTACTGTTGTTCTACAACAAAGTTATAGAACATTGGTGATAAAATGATGCCCACTGTTCAACTTCTCAATCATACTCTCCTCTTGATTTAAAATAAAGGAGTGATTCTTAATTGCATCTATGATCAGAAACAGTATTTTACAATCTAAAAAAGAGTACATAAGGTGACAAATATTACTCTAATTACTAGAAGCTGAGATGCACACCTGTGGTTGTTGGTTCCATGCCATCTCTCTCTCTCAAAATATCTCAACCAAGTGGCCGTTTCTGGAGAGACCCTGAAGTATCACAACCAACTCCTTCAATACAATGGGCTAAAGAAGGATTAGCTGTAAGATCAGAGGCCTGTGGTTCCCATGGATTAATAGATGTCTATTGATTTAGGATGTTACATGACCGGGGCAGTCCATTCTCTGTGTCCCTCTGACAGATCTGAGAGGAAAGTGTACATGCTAAAACTTTTACATCCTGCTCCTTTACATGGTATAGCAATCAGTAGAACTTGAGATTTACATAATCAAAACTACTACATGCTGGTACACTGGCAAAATTGAAGGGCTTAAGACTGATACCAACTTTTTGTATCTGTTGACTTGTTTCATTTAAAATTTGTAATATTAATAGAGGAGTCGAAATGAAGCTTCAACTGTGTTGGTATGAACCTTTGGAATTTCTGGTAAGGAGAGAAAAACAGATGTATATCAGGCATATTTTATTTGTATTTCCTATGAAACCTTTAATGTGCTGTTACACCTTTTAGAAACGTTTCAACCAAACACTGTCATATTCTGCCCCTCTTAGATTAGAACCTCAGTACATATTTTTGCTTATGTTTGGAGCAGTGTGAGCACTGTGCAGCCATAAAATACTGTGACAAAACATACTCCTTTACTCACACATGTATTTCCATCCTAAATCAAATGTAAAGCAAGCAGAGTTTGACCTTTAATTGGAGAGCTTTGTCAAAAGAAGCCATGTATTACAGTCACAGAAACCTGATCTCCAGATCTGTGGAGCTGCATATTTATGATTTTCCAGTACTTGAATAGATTTTAAAATAAACCAGTCTGTAAATACAAGGGAAAATCTAACTGCAGCATTATGAAGTTGTGCTATGCAGCACTCCAAATTTGTTTCCTTCATGACTCTGTAGAACTGAGGGCAATATGTAATTAATATCTAATTTATTTCTTGTGCTTCTATTAAAAAAGTCATATTCCAAGGGAATATTTTAGTAACCTACAGTATAATGAATTTTAATGTATTTTTTGAAGGCATCATTCAACATTTCAGCTAGGATCAAAGGTTATGGTTCATGCATCAGAGACATACTCTGGAATTAAAGACAGCTGGATTGACTTTAATATTCATATCTCTCTCTCTCTCTGTCTCTCTCTCTGTATATATATATATATGTATCACATACTTCCCTGGGAAAAATAGCAAATATGTAGCTCTGTTTGCATTTGCACAGAAATTGCATTTTCTTGTCCCATGGGCCTGTTGTGAGGGACCTCAAAGACTGAGATATCTCACATACCGTTGTAATTAGATGTCATGCAAAATAAGCAGCAGGCAGATATCCTAAATATTAAAATGAAGTTGGAACTCAGAAGTAATTTCTAATTTGCCATTATTGTTGTCCAGTAAAAGATTAAAATAATGAGAATGTAGCAATTTTTTTCTTGGTCTCGAGTGATAACTTGGTGTATTTTGCTCTCACCTTCAACACACATAATTTTCATTTCATATACTGACCAAAACAAAGTTTTCCCAAGTTATTACTCCTACAGAGATTTAACTGTATTATGGAAAACATAGCAAGGATACTTAAAATTCAGATTATTGGCAAATATGGCTCAGCATAACTCTACCAAAGTATCTAGAACTAGACCAAGCTGGAATTCCTGACAGTCTGTCCTAGTGTTCCTAATCTGATAAAAGGACATAGCTATGATAAAACTGCATAACAGCATAGTCAGAAAATAGAAGTTGTCAAAATGTATGTTAGCTTAAAAAATTCCACCATTTTCTGCATAACAGCACAGTCAGTTGTCCACTGATTTGTAAAAGATAAGACAGAAATTGCTTTAAATTACTTATAGTTATCCAATAAGCCAGTGCAGAATTTTTCTATTTTGTAATTTTCTACAGTTTTGCTCAGATATGAATGCTAAGTAGCTCAAGGTAATGATTCCTGCTCTTGGCACTGGAATAATGCCAGGCCAACACTGTTGACAGTTTTGGATGCATTTGTTAATGTTTTTTCTTTCATTTTCCTATCTAATTTTTCTTACATGCGTTCTTTTCTCTCAAAAAAAGAAAAAAAAAAATCATCAGTTATCAGTATCTGCATTTCCAGAACCTGCAGACAGTAGGAGCCTTCACCTTCCAATAATTTACTGTCAATATTCCATTTCAGTCTTTTCATTCCTTTACTCACATTTTGCCACACTGGACTGCCTTCTTCCCAATGTTGCTGCATTCCTGTTGCAGCCTTTAAGATTTCCCACCAGTGTTCTGCTAGGTCTGTGCTGACTGCCATATAGCAATTAGCAATCACATCCCAACAGCATCACGGGCTTGTGTCAGATCAGAGCCGTGCAGGAGTCATGTCAGATATACCACACTCTTCTCATTTGATTGCCTGTGATGTGCCGTAGCTGAGGCACAGGGTTATATTAAGAAAAATGCCTAAGGACTTTTAGAGGCAATAGAGGGAGTTGAAGAAAACCAGTGTTTCTAATAAAAGAGAAGGGTCTCTTCCACTTCAGTAAGGTAGAGGAAAAAAGAGAAACTGTGTTAATGATATTTCAAGCTACTGAAATTCGAGTGATTCAGACTTACAAGCAACCAGTGATTGCCTCTCATGTACGCGTTGGTCTTGATGAAAGCCGGATTTCAGTCCTTCCCTCTTCAGGCTGCAGTCCTGTGGCCATCACCATCTTGGCAGAGGCTGGAAATGCTGTAATCAAGCAGTGGAAGGAAACAAGGCAGATGTGCACCTACACTTTGGGTTCCATGAGAGCTGGTGTATTGGAACCGAAGAGTACCGAGAGCTTTTGGGCTCTCTCTGGAACCTGCTCAGCCAAGGATGTTGTTCTATGTTGTGTTAAAAGTCCTTCCCCTCAGGTTGCATAGGGAGCAAGGTTTAGCTCATGGAGAGAAGAGGAAAACAAAGTGACAGCCCAGGTAGAAACACTCCATCTGTTTGGCCAGGCTAGAGCCTGGAGATCATAAAGACAGAACACATTTCAAGCAGATTTCTCTGCAACAGGGAAAGAACTGCTTTAAGGCATAAGGTAATGGGCTGTTTTTAACAGGTTCTAATGCTTAACACAAAATGGGGGTGAAAGGAAAAAAAAAAGATAAGAAAAACCTTATTTGACCAACCTGTAATTCTTTTCCAATGGACTTAAAATATTTAGGTGCAAAGAGGTATCCCTTGCTAGCCTTCCATATTCTGAACATGGAAATAAATGTAACTTGCCTGTAGTGGTTCACTCCAGTACATCCTTAAAAAACTGGTTGCTCTCTGTTTTGCTTGTTAATAAATACATATAAATATTAAAACCAAAACAGAGACACAATAAAATCTGCACACAAAAGTATATAGCAAGAGGGAAGAGTAAATCATGCTGATTGGATGATATAGAGTAATTATTTCCATAATTTTATTATTTGCAATCATATGGAGACATTTCAAACACAAAAAATGCCCTGTTTTTTAGATTTTGTTCCAGAGCTTGCTAAAGACCACAGTTTCCTAAAGACCAAGTAAAAATAAGTAAAAAAAAAAAATATTACTTCATGGTATCCATTGAAGAATTTTGCTTAATGTAATGAGAGTAGGCTGCCATCCTCTTACATAAAAATACTACCTATGCCAAGGAAAAAGAGCAGACATAGTAGTTAATACACCATCTATTGTTCTGATATTCACTGAGCATCCCATAGAAATTAGGTGCATTTCTATAAAGCCACTGCAATTTCTTTTTCCGTTCAGCCACACTAGTGCAAACTGGCATGTTGGGGGGAGTTGATTGTGCAGCTTTGGCTGTTTCTATCCAAACATAAAATGAGTTGTCTTGCAGAATGATATAAGGGGATTTAACTTTGCTGAGTCAAATTTGAGTAGAATAAACAGATCCAGAGGGTCAAATGAATTAAAGGTACTGTGTCACTGTAACAAAACTATATTGCTAAACAAGTTTTGACTAGAGTTTGAGATTTCAAATGCTTGTCTATTCCTGTGGTAACATAAGCCACACCAAATCTTTTAATCCCTTTATTAAAGATAGAAAAAAATAAGGGGGGGGGAAAGAATAAAAATATTCAGAATTAAGAAAAGTAAGGCTTTCATTTTTTTAAAAAAAATCCAATTTTGGTTTCCTGTTAAAAGTCTATGTGAGGAAAATACCATTGCTTAACAGGCTTAAAGACACAGTAAGAAACAAAAAGTATTGGATTTTTTATTTCAGAAGAGAGAGTTATTCAGTTCACTGACATGGGCTGGAACTTCTGCCAGACCTGTTGTTAGAGTCCAATCATTCCCTGTAGAGGCAGGCAGCATGGGCACAAGAGCTGCAGGGGAAGGGAACACAGCCTCTCTCTCTGGTGCTGGCGCTGAACAGCAAATTCACTGCTAGAAGAATTCCAGGACAGCATATTTTCTGTTGGTCACACAGACACATGGAAACTGCAGCAACATCCTCCTGTCTCTAACACAGCTTTTTGGAAGCTGTTTATTAACAGTGTCTTGGTAGCTCTCCAAAGGACATCTCAAGAATATCTCAAGAAAGTTTTTCTTAAACAGAAAGCAAAGGAAAACACAAATGAAAAAGGAGAGAACGAGGGAAGAAAGGAAAAACACAAACCAAGCTGCTGCGCTTTTGCAACCTACCTATCTTTCTTCAGTTTGGGTCAAATTAAGCATCCTTGCAGCACAAGACTGGGGCACCAGAGTGGAAGAGTAGCCCATCCACTCATGATTTAGCTGATTGGTGAGGCTTACTCTACAGTATATCTATTTTGTCCCTGTGACAGCAAAGAAGGATAGTTGGGTCTCGAAGCACATCCTGCCCTCACACACCCTCTCTCCCTTGCAGTCTCTGATAGGTAATGTGGTTTGTCCTAAGATAAGAACACCAGGTGGGAATTGCAGGAGGAACTGTCTGGATGCTCACATAATTAATGCATTCCAGGGATGGGGGAGCTGTAATGTGATTTTCATACACATTGGCCTGTGAAAGGGTATAAAATGCAGCTGTGGACTAGGCCAATTGGTCTCCCAAGGTTGCAGGCTTCTCAAGGAATTGGTCTCCCAAGGCCAATTGGTCTCCCAAGGATCCAGCTTCCAGATGGATCCCACCCTAGCAGGGATGCCTGGAGCGTACATCCAGCCCTAAGATGGGAACACTCACTTTTGGATGGTTGAGTAAAAGCACTAAGATCCAGCCATATACAGAGATAAAATCCTAAAGTAGCTCCATAGGTGCTTTGCTGCTTTGTAATTGTGCTTTCTGCAAGGCCAAAGGCTCTAAACCTGCACGTTTCCAGTTGAACGTGGTTATGTTATAACCCTTTAGATCTGATGATATTATACACTGCATTGGCAATATTTAGATACTGTTTTAGCAATAAATCTACGTATAATAATCCAAATAATCAGTGTCATACTTCTCATACTTGACCAAGAGTCTTCTCTCTACTACTTTGCCACAGTCCCACTGAGTCTAGTCTCACATTTTTCATCTTTACTGCACATGATTTCAGCATAGTCCTTGGGGCTTATCACTGGGTCTTGTTTTCTTGAAAAAGATGTCATTTTGTGTTTAATTTTTACTGATCTTTGCAAATTGTTTTATGTAACAATCTGAACTCTACACCGATCACCTTGAACTACTTAGAGCATAGGCCTTGACACAACAGGATCTAATTTTTCTTGTTTGCAAGGACATGCCTTATCTTCTCTAAGGAATGAAAGTCTGCATAGTGCCCACTAAAGATATTAGAGTGCTTTTTCTGAGATTAAATTTATTAATGTTGTTGTCTTGTCTAAACAATATGAAATTGTATAGTTCAGGACTTTTTACTTGACACACATTCCCAAGGGAAACTAGCATAAAACAACTCAGACACGTCTGACGTGTCTGTCAGGCTGTAGGGAAAATGTACTGCAGTTAAAAATTCTGGTATCTTCTGTGACAAAAGATAAATCTTGCAAGTTTGGTGCAAGGACTTAAAATCTGATAGAAGACAGCTTTTGTGTCAATGACATGTTGGTTTTATCCTCATTAAATAAGTATGTGAAAACTCATGGTGCATGTTTAATAAAGATGACTTTGGTTTCAACAGCAAACTTTCCTAAAAGGTCTCATTTGCTATGGATGGGGATCTGCTGCCATAAGCTGTAAGAGGTCTAGGCAACCAAAAGGAAAGCAGGGGTCTGCCCTGCTCTGGTCCCAGCATCCTAGATGTCCAAATCAAGAGTACAGAAGACAGTTATTCAAATGCTCTGTGAAGAAATTCTCAGGCAGATATACTGGATCCCAAAGCTGTGCTAGATGAGGAATGGGGTCAGGAGGAGGAATTGGGGAGGTAGGGTGGTCCAGCCAGGTAGACTGGAAGCAAAGAGTGTCATACTGGGGAATGAGCAAACAGCTAACCAGATTGGGAGATCAGGAGCTGGGATCTACTGTGACTTTCTGTAGGAGAATGTGGGGATGTGGGGTCCTGGGATGAAGAGGGGAAAGCAAAGGACAAGGATGGCAAGAGGTTGGAGGAGACATAGTGGGTTACCTTATATCTGGAATCCATCTGATTACTTGTCACCCCAGCCAACAAGCAAAACCTCAGTTTGTGTTTCTCACCAGTGACCATCAGCAATCCTCTTCTGGGAGTGCTTTACTCAGAGGATGACAACCCGTGGCTGGTAGTGGCACTCTATTAGCTCAAGTAGCAGAAATCTGTGCAGATAGTGCAGTTGTTAGTCTGCCAAGGAAAATGAGGTACCGTGATGAATAAAATTCATCTCTTTCCAGCTTGTTTTCATTTGTCTATCTTTTTTCTATTTAAAAAAATAAATAAAGAATTTGTTAAAGAACATTACTGAGATTGCTAAGTAAAGCAATTGAAATAGGAAATAGCAGAATCAAATAAATTATGTTTATTCTGTTTAATTAATTTTTCCTAATGTGATATTAGGAGCTTATCTCTCTTGCTTATCCCATTGTGGTCTAATAAGTAATTAGTCCAAACTCACTTAGAGCAGAGAATATGCTTATACAACATAAATATTTTTTCCAGTGTGCCTTTTTTCGTGTCTTTGCTACACAGGCTTATTTTGTGCTCTCTGTGAGTTAGTACAGTGGAAAAACAAGAATATAGCTATGCAGTTACCCTGATTTATCTGTTTTGGACATTGTGCCTGGTGGCCTTGCATTTAATCTCAGTTGGTTTTTAGGCTGTGCACTCTGGTCACACACTCTTTCCATCTCAGTGTGCTATCTATAATATTTTGAAAGTGACTTATGGAACAATAATGCCATGGTAATTTCCTCGAATGTCTACAAAAAATAAAGGAGCCTTTGCTCATTAAGAGGAGTGGCTTAACACTGTTTAAGAGGAAAATGAAAAGCTATTCATATTTTTCAGAGGAAAATAGGGCCCCATATTTGCATCTTGGCTCATATTCCCTCTCTCTTCGAAACAAGCCTTGATGTTCCAGCTTATGTAAGCTATGGCTGAACCTGCCAGATCAGCCTAGAGAGACAAGGTCTTGTATCAGAAGTTATTGTTTTCAAAGGTTAAATTAATCCAATATTACTCCAAGAAAACTACTGAAATTGTTCAAGAGTCTTAGCTGTTCCTAAGGTTTGCAGCTGCTCCACCCAACCGACAGCCTGTGCAAGAGCAAAACTGCAGCTGGAATCTGAAGGAGAAATCATTTATTAGCAGATTACAACAAAAGCTGTGCATCACCCAGTTGTTCTCTGTGGTGGGTGCTCTCAGTGTGGAGCTGGCAGCTGTGGCTGCAGGACCAGGGTGTGGGGGGGAGGCAAGGCAGGGCAGGGCAGGCAAGCATGCCACTTGCTTAATTTTGCCCTTAGTGCTGGGAGCTTATCTCTACCTCTTGTCGCTGCCCGGCCTGTTAGGGAATTAACCCAGCCTCATTTACATCAGAGAATATTCTAATACAGTCTAAGTATGTCTTCCAGTCTATAATTGAATGCTCCAATTATATAACAAAACTGAATGTCACAATGTAGATTTGCTTCATCACAGCTGTGTTCTGGGACCCATGACCTTCAGCTTGATGCTTCCACTGCATGAAGGCAGGATACTTGAACACATGATCTCACCCAAGGAACAAGATGTTGTATGATTACATACAATGTGTCTTTGTATTCCTGGTGAGACTGATATGAGGGTTTATATCCCCTTGCTGCTATCAGCCTTGCAAGCAGCAATTGATCCAGGCAGTGATATTTCAGTCAAGGTTTTTGATTCCAGAAAATAAGCCTGTTCTTCGATGCACCCCCATTCAGAAAAGTGTGGACATGCACACAAAGCTTATCTTCAGTAGGTGCTTAAAAAGAGGGCACACATTTAAGAGCCCCTCCTGTGAATAAGGCTTTTTACTTCAACTGCTATGTTCGAAGAAATACATATGGGCCCTGGTGGACAGACTCCCAACTTTATATATATATATATATATATATATATATATATATATATAAAAGTATGTATATATGTATATATATCTATGTATGTATATATGTATATGTATCTATGTATGTATATATGTATATGTATCTATGTATGTGTATATGTATCTATGTATGTATATATGTATCTATGTATGTATGTATATATGTATCTATGTATGTGTATATATATAGATAGATAGTTAGAGTTACAGTTATTTAACTTCGAGAAAAAGAACAACCTCATTTTCGAAATGAGGTTAAACCTCTGTGAAAATAGTGAAAAAAATCTCATTATGAAGACATATAAGAAACAGCGATGCTCCTTTATGGAGGCAGATATCTAAAATAACAGCAGTCTGTACTCAAAACACAGACACAGGCTGCTGCTCAGGACATAGGAATATACATAGCACAAGAAGGTGGAAAAATTTCATGAGCTACCATTGAGGAATCTGGGCTATGTGTGGGCCTGATATTATGAGAAAAGTAAAAGAAAGCTGAGAACAGACTGTAGAGATTTACTTTTTTAAAGGAGCATATATTTAGTGGGCTTGTGTTAAAACTTGGCTAAGAAAATGTCTGGGAATTGTAGCAGAAACAATATATCCAGAATATATTCAACGTAACAAGAGTCTGTGTGCCCTGTTATATCAAGGGCATCACCTCCGATCTAAGCTCAAGCTTAATAAGCTGAAGCTGAAACAACTTGGTAGATGATGCAAATAAAAAAGGATTACTTGTTTTATAGATATTAGTAACCTTGCAGATCAGCACCAGATTGCACACCCAAATATTTATGGTTAAACAGCAGAACTGTCTCTAATGCAACACAGTTTGACTAAAGATCTCTCATTCAGTCTAGGTAATGAAAATAAACCATCGTTGCTTATGACACAAGTGAGCTCCAGATACCTTTGAAAACCCTTTTAATCAGAAATCGTGTAATTTCCACTGTGGTATGTCTACCTGAGTCCCACACCTGCCAACTCTTCTTGGGCATTTTCTCCCCAATCTGTCACTACATGGTAGTGCCTTGGCAACAGGTCCCTGGCTCCTTGAAGCGTTTGGTGCAGTGCTTTAGCCTGGACATGACCCACTCTTCACACCTCTGAAACAAGAGCATTATTTTCCTCCCCTTTGGTAAGGTTCATCACTATTACCTCCAGTGGCAGCTCATAAAACAAACTAGTTAATGCAAGTTTTGCTTCACAGAGGAAACAAAACAATTATAGAGAACATACTGGATCCTCTTAGTAGCCTTTACATTATTCTTACCCTGGAAGTTCATGTCTTCCACTCCTTTCCATCATTTGTTCTTGTTTCTAGTGGACACAGTCGAGACTTCTCACCATCATTCCTGTCAGGTGGGTCTTCCTAAGATCTCTAGTAAGTATTCTCTTCCTGACACACACTGGTCTTCACTAGATCATCTTGGGGGGAATTCTTGGGGGCTGCCATTCAGAGAATGCACAACAATTACATCCTGTGCTCCCTGCTGACTCTGGTGAAAGATGAGGTGGTGGGCTGTTCGACTCTGCTGAGACAGAGACCAACAGTCAGACTTTTTAATAGGCACTTTTTTTTTTAAAGGCATCTAGTTTTCTAGCATCTTTGATAACTGTATTTTTCAGGGTCTATTTTAACCTTGTAATTACATGTAAATATTAATTTTTTAAAATCTTTGTTTCATTCTGGAACTGAATATCTTGAATTTCGTATGTTGAATTGAGTATGAGTAGTGGAAGACTCTCCTATCCTTTCTGTCAGTTCCTTCCTAATTACTTGGAAGTGAGATATAGATAGGACAGGCAAGATGCTCTACTTTCCCAGAATTTGTGTTTTCTAACATGAATTCAATTTTCGGTATTAAGCTTTCAGGGATGTTTGCTTTGGTAGCTTATTTTGAATCCTGTTTGGCTTACTTTTTTGCTAGGTTATGTATCTTCACAGGTTTTTTCAGGTCTATGGCTCAGTAACACAGTGCACACCTCCAAGATATGTGCAATACACCCCACAGTATGCTGCTACTTGTGCTGCCTACACAGTAGCTGTATGGGATAATGCTAAACAGCCCCAGAAAGCAAATGTACCCTGGTTCCACACCAGTGTTCAAAGTGAACCAGTCTCTTACTTAGATGGACTCCCAGATGCAGCCATCCACCCCTCTCTGCAAGGCTGTGATGATGGAGTAAGAGCTGAGTGCTGAAGTTCCACAAGGCATTCCTGAGGCCGATGTCAAGTAACCTTAAAAAAAAAACAATGAAGCTGGTGATGAACAAAGTATGTCATTGCACATGTTCTTTCAGAATGTTCTTTTGTATGAATATCCCTTTTTCTGGGACTGAGTCCTGAGGCTGTTCCCCTGCAATTCTGCATCCATCATCTGTGTCATCTTGTGTGCAATTTGCATCTTCCACTGCAAATTACGTCCCCTATAGTGTAGGGCAGAGAGACACCTTCCCAGTCTCACATTTCAGTCTTTTAACAACTCTGTGTTTCCCCTCATCAAGATCTGGGGGTTTCCCAGGCTTTTTTCTACTTTTAAAATTTCACTTCTGCAGTGACATCATGGGCTCTTAGCATTTCTATTACAACCAAAATGTCTCTCACTGTACTGTTGCTGCTACCTACTGGACTGCAATTTGGTTTTCTGGCATCACCACTACACCAACAGCAGTCTCTTATAAGGTCAAATCATCTCATGTCACAGAATCTCATGTCAAAGTAGGGCTAACTTTTTGCTACTGACTTCTTTAAAAATGCTTTTATTATCTGTATTATCTCTGTTGTACATATTTCCCTATCTTTGCTTTTGATCAGCCCATTTCCTGTTTGAACTACCCACACAGGACTTTTGTAACTTGGTAAACAAGATCTGTGGTTTCCTACCATGGCAGGAGTTTCAGTTTCAAGTGTTAGGCATTTGATATATCTCTATTCATCTTTCCTTGGACATTATTGGTCAGTGATCTTTTGGCTCGTGTTCCTTTCTGTAATTCCACGCATTTCATCAGTCTTAGCATTATAGAATTTTTATTTCTGAGGTTTTATTTTCTTTATGATTCATCCTTTTTGGGCTTACCCAGCTTGCTGTTCTGCCTGTATTGAAACTGCTGGAGATATATCACATTGTTTTCATGAAGCAACAAGGCAAATGTAATGGTTTGCTCCCACTGAGAGGGCCCTGCCCACCCTTAACTCCTTCCATTCTCAACCACATGTTCCCACCTCCTCCTCATGCTGTGGTACTCATCTGTCTCTTATTGAAGTAGTTCAGCTAACTAAATCAGCAGAAAGCCAACCAGTTTAAAAAATACTAATCAGCTTTTGTCAGGTTGGTGAGCTGAAACAGCTCACAGTGATGCTGGACAAGGGCCAGCACTAGCTTAAGAGAGAGACTGGGAACACCAGGACAGGATCTGGAGAGAGGCAGGATCACCTTACATAGATGGCAGCAGCCAAGTTTTACAGAGACTTGGACATACTGGGAAATGTCATACTGGGTATTTTCCCTTTGTAACACTATTTCTCCACCTCACCTACCCTTGACTACAACAGTAACTTAACTCATAGAATCACTGAGTGACCTGAGCTGAAATGGAATTCAGGAGGTTCCTGGTGCGTTCACCTGTCCCCTTGCAGGGTCAATGCTTAGCTTAGACCAGGCTGCTCAGAGTTTTATCCAGTCATGTCTGAAAAACCTCCAAGGATGGAGAGTACCAAAGCTCTCTGAGCAACCTGTGACGATGATTAATTATCCCCACAGTAATTTTTTTTCTTCTTATAAATCCAAACATGGTCAAAGTCAGAATATCATCCAGCGTTCTTTTGTTTTCAGCTTCATATCACTGATTTCTAAGTAATTTTGCCTTTGAAGTCCATCCTTCCCAGACTATTCTGCTTGGCATTATATAGACCATCACTGATACCATCAGTTATATAGCACATCTGACCCTGTGTGGTATTCATGTTAGTATCTATTTATGAGTCTTTTTGCCATCTGGCAAGACTCATATGTTTAAGATAGCAAAGTACTTAAAAATACATCAAACAACAAGCATAGATCAGTCTGTCTCCCACCGTTTTGGTAAAGCTTTCACAGTCTTACTATTTTAACACAAGGCCTAGGTAGGCCGTATGACCCCAACTCTGCTTTACTAAAAAGGGGTTGCTAACCTATGAGTAACAGCATATAAACTTAAGTCAAGAAAGGTATATTAAAAAAGCTGAAACAAGGACACAATTGAAATTGTTGAGTCTGTAGTAGACACTCAAGGACTGAAGGAAAAATTAACTACCAAAAAAGCTCTAAAACCCTAAGAAAAAAAATCAAAATAGAAAATAGCAATTCAGCAAAACTGAGTATCATTCTATTGCAAGGAGCAATGGAGTCTGGCACTTCCCCATGTGATTACCATCTGCTTGACCGGCAGAAACCCAGTGGTTACGTGCATCAGAGGCAGTGAGGGCATTAGTGCCAAAGCTAATAGCACATTACTCCCAGCCATTTATTGTATGTACTATCCAACAAATAGCATAATTGTTCTGTACTCATAAATTGTGTTTGTGATCCTGCTTTCAAGCCACCATGCTCAGGAAAAGACACCCATATAAAAGTGACCAAATATCCTAAGAGGTTTATACTATACCACTGCTCTATCCATTTCTTGATTGTTATATTCATCTTTAGTATTCAAGTTGTCCATGACAAGAAACAGGCTAAGCTGTGATATTTTTTAATTCCTACTACGAAGGCCATTTTGGAAATGCATGTTTGTGTTCTTCTTCACATTTCTCTGTCCTTGCCAATATTGTGCAATATCTATTTTGACATGTGGAGCACAGTGCATTGCTCAGATCACCTGTTTTGCTGGCACACTTCCTTTTCCATCCTAATTGCCAGATGACAGCCTACCTTCCTGGGGTGACTCAGCCTGCAAGCTGGCTGGCTCACCCACCATTGCCCCTGTCATCCACACGTGGATGTGTGTCAAGGCAGGATATGGGTGGAGATGGAAGCACGGCCCAATCACAGAATCAAGAATGCAAGGGGGAATGCACAAAATTAATATTGGTAGAGTGCAAACTCTGGCTTTCTTCCTAAAATCCTAAACATTACCCACCTCTTAGGATGACTTCCAGCAGACCAAAGAATTGGGCTGGTATTGCAATCTAGGGAAACAGTGTTCACAGACGTGTAACAGATTCAGGCAGTTCACTGTGTAATCCATTAGCCAAAGAAGCTAGCCACCAAAGCTGGAAAAAAAGAAAAAGAGAAAAAAAATAACTAGGAACAAGTGGGAAGTTATTTTTTGAAGTTGAAATAAGCTATCAGTTTATTCCAGCTAAACAAGATTGTTAAAAAAATAAATTAAACAATGGTGGGAATGTCAAGGGTTGGGAGAAAATGCTGAAGAAGATGGAGGGATGAGAAAAAGTGACAATTTATCTTGTGAAGCCCCATGCTGTCCTGTAGTGAGGTCAGCTGTAGTCCTGCATACGCGTCAAAGAGACAGTTGTCATGAGTTTGGGGAAGGAAGGAAGGGTGAGTCTACTGTCCTGTATATTTTTACTGTGTGAGCAGCCCTCAGTGACTGGCCAACACCTGATGATCTGCCCAGCAACACGACCCCGGCAACCTGCCAGCACTTGGTGATTTAGTCCAGCAGCAGCGCTGAAAAATTTCTTTTTCCAGTGGTGAATGGATCAGCAGAAATGTGTGACCCCATCAGGCTCTACGCAGTCAATGGAATACTTTCAGCTCATGCACAGTTGTTTATCAAGGCATAGCAGCACTGCATGTTTGTATCACCTCAAATCAGCAGAGGCAATTTTAACAGACGCTGAAGTTTTCTGGAAGCCAAAGGAAATGAAGTTCCAACTGAAATTTGGGCATAAGCGTAAATGTCTGCCAAACTGTGGCCTGTATACATCACCTGATGCCTGGTGTTGTGTGTTTTCTGGTTTATAAATATTAAAAAAGTCCCTCAGATCTGAAACTACCCAAACTCTCTTGTAACATGAATGTGACCTTTTTGTTCTCAGATGTAATAAAAAATATTTCAAAGAAAATGAAGAAGTTATGAATAGGTGACCACATACAGCTTTTCAGAATTTGAAAAAGATTACTTTTCCATGCTTATAATTAATTTTAATTAACCTTATTAATTCCCATCATTAATCATTGATGCAAATGAGCAGCTTCCTAGAGGAGAATGGGACCCAAGTCACTGTCAGACCTGAGGGAATGGCAGGTGCAGCTCATCTTCTCCAGCCCCAGAGCTGTATGGACACCAAACAGTTAATACTGTCCCGCTGATCACAAAGCCCACAGGTAGTCCAACCTGCCCTTTCTCCTACAAAACTGACTGAAGTTTTAGAAGGAGCTGAGACTACTGGGAGGATGATATAGACACAAGGCATGAACCCAAGGATATTCAGCTCCAACAGTTCCAGTATTTCACTATGAATACATCTGTTAACTACCAGTGGTGTCACCTGATGGGACCATATCAAACCAATACTTAAGAAACAAATAATTCAATCACTCACAAGCTAGTGAATCCTATTGGCATCATATGTAGGGTATTGTAATACATTTTGAAGGAAGTAATAATTAATAGCTTGATAAACAGGAAAAGGGATTAAAATGCATTGATGACTTCAAAAGAATAGATCACATTAGAAATCATTTTCTTTAATAGAAATTGAGACAAACATGCTTTCAGGTTACTGGAAAAAAATTGCATTTGGTATAAATCAAGCCTCAAAAAAAGTGTTAAATGCTGTTTTTGTAAATATGTCACACTGGACACGGTGTGCATTCAATACACACTATGGTGATATGCAACATCATTTAGGAATGTATAACATAGATAATCAGCAAAAAATAGATCAGTGAGTAAGGCTGACCATTATCCCTCTTTCTGCTTACACCTTCAAGTCTTTAGAACACATTGTTCGAGTATGATAAGCTTTATAGTTACATTTCGTAGCTAAATTTTGATTAGACTTATACAAAATCACATGTGATGGACTCCATAAGCCTGTGAAAAATATGGGCCCAGTTAAACTGAGGACTATGGAGAGAGAACACCTGAGAAGTTAAGATATGGCCCCAGGAAACGGGTGAGGGATATGAAAGAGAAGAGGAGAATGCTCCTTCTAAAGGAACTAGAAAGGGAATTCAAACATAAGAAAAGTGGGATGATGTAGGCCTGAGTGAATCCTCAGCACCAAAGACACCACATCCAGCTCAAGTGCTCCAGTACATCATCACCACTGTCCTAGTTATTAACACGGCAGTTCAAAGTGAATTGTCACTAAACCAAACAGACACTCGCTGTCTTGTGTCTAAGTGGGAGGGGGTGTTATATCCTTTGGTAAGAACAGGATGACTTGTGGTTTATGCAGCATACCCCAAATTCAGACAGATGGAGTAAAAACTGAAAACAAAGTACTTTCAGCCCTAAGAGATCATCAGTGTAGGAAGACACATTTACCCATTTTTCTGGACAGCTGTCCCGAGACTTGCTCCTCCTACATCCATACTGAAACCTCCAAAATGTAACACAGATTCGCTGCATTGTATTCCTTCTTCGGAACAATGCTATCCCATCTGGTTACCTGCTTTTGTAGGTGATAACCTAATGGCTGGCACCAGTACTTCCTGGGATTACACAGTTAGGTTTTTCATAATGCTTCTATCAACTCATGCCCTTCTTCTGAGAAAAAAATTCTGGATTTAGGTTAAACCATAGTGATACAAATGAACAGTTACCCCCAGCACGGTTCTGTGGATTGAATAGGCTGAATCAAGACGTTTTCTTCATAAAAGTGTATCACTGCAGCAAGAGCAGTCCACTGATCTCTTTAGGAAGAATTAATTAGAGACGAAAGAGATACTGAAAGAGCCTGAGTTAAATGGGCAAAAATAGAAAAAAAGGAACAGAGGTGGCTGGGAAAGGGAGGTAGCTAGAAAAAGAAAGAAATGTTGAGTTAACCAAGGGGAGAAAGTATATGTAACATTATTTTATACATCATCATCGACAAAATATATCAATATCAGCAGATTCCTGGCTGGATCTGTGGCAACCCTGTAGCTCCATCCCTCGAGCCAACGCTGAGGGAGCTGCAGGCACCTTTGTTTCGCTCGCTTGGCGAGGAGCAGCATCGTGGGGCCCTTGTTAAACTCCTAGAGCACTTTAAGCAGCTTAAACTGCTTTATAAGCTTAAAGTATCTAAGTCTTCAAAGCTGCTTAAAGCTACTTAAGCTGCTTAAGACACTTTAGGTTGTTGGCATGTGCAATGGGGCTGTATGCAACATCCTGGCCTGCAAACCAAACAGTCCACCTTCAGATTTGCAGGTCCCAGCAACAAAATTGCCTCACCAGGGCTGCTCTAAGCAAGGTCAGCCGAGCCTAGTTTTCTTCTCATGGGTCATAGAATCATAGAAGAGCTTGGATTGGAAGAGACTTTTAAAGACCATCTATTCCAACTCCCATTGCCTGATTGTCCCTCTAGGCTTCGGTATTAAGGCTGTCCTTGACACCTGATAGATTTGTCCTGGCATCTTTGAAATTCTGCAGGTTTTTTACTGCTGTTCATCCAAGGGTTGGGGTGTGTAACGGTATACCTGAAGCTAGCCAGATTCATTAGGTCAATATTTACCCATTTGCACAGCAAAATTCACAAGCTCCAGTGTTTGCTTACAAGAGAGAAAGTTCTCGTGCAGTATGAAATCATTATGCTGGTGTCTAAATATGCATATTTTTAAAAGAACAAAAGGACCAGTGGATATTCACTGAAGTATGGCTTATCAATTAACATCAAACCTAAAATTTCTGCACTTCTGCAAAGTTATAATCTTATCATGACCCTATCTTTGAGTCTTATCTTTTACTAGACTAAAATAACAATGGTGAATGCAAAAACTTCCAGTGTTTACAGTCATATTTGGATCAACACCACAGTCAACTGTGATGAGCACAGATTTCTCTAGAAAACATTTTGAGCCAGTTATTTTTATATTGAGTAGTGACTAGAATTTGTCAAAAGTTTTATATGGTTTTGAATTTCTAACAAAGAGCTTATTTTCTGAAAAACCTAGTTTTAAATAATAAAAAAAAAGTAAATTGGAAAAATAAATAGTTTTGCTCAGTTTTCCCTTGGGAGTATGATTCTAAAGAGATTTATTTTGAGCTAAGACAAAAATTATAATTTTGCAGAATGCTGCTTTATTTGCACAGTAATTTTTGTTGGCATTTTCTTGTGTATAATAGAGTTCTGTGCTCCCCTACTTAAGACATATAAATAAGGTACAACATGACTGCAATATTTTGGGTTTTGAATGTTGAAATGTTCAGTTGTAATTCAAGTCCTCAAAACTTTCCAGCTTTTCTAAAATAATCTCATTTTTTCTCATTCCCATTTTTAAAATTTTCCAAATTAGAAAAACATTCTAAAATTTTGAATTAAAATAATTATTAAAATACAGAATTTCTCACAGATTGAGAAATCCTGACTTGTTCGTTTTGCTGAGGTCTGTATCTGTGCTGTTGCTTTGCACACTCACTGGCCTGAAAACAAGATTTTGTACTTTTCCATTGGCAAAGATTATTTGATCTGTGTTTGTTCTGGATATGTTTGTTTAATTCCTCATTTGAGCACTATCATAAATTATTAGGTCATTACTGCCCTGGGAAAAGAACTAGTTTAATAATTAACTTCTGCTTGCAAAGCCCTTCAACAGGTCAGAAAAAATACTGCAGATGAATCATAGAAATGTAGACTTCGGTGAAATCTCAAGGGGTTATGTAGTCTGCTATTCCTCAATATTTTTAATCAAAGCTGTACCTAACCTTCCTGAGGTAAAATAAAAACGAAACAAAAATCCCACAACACAAAATCAAAGGAAACAAAGGTGTTTTGTTTTGGGTTTTTGTTTTGTTTTTAAAAAGACCAGAGAACAACCTGTGCAATATTCCATAACAGCAAATTAATGTGCCCAGAACCACACATGGTATTTTCAAATGCTTTCTTAGTGAAGATCTGTTATGGATTACCTTGTAATAACTTGTACACTTCGTCACAGCTTCAGGGATTTCAGCCACCTAATATATTCATCTGGTCCATCTCCTAACCTTGAAGAAAGCACATAGTTGTCTTGATAATTGTGGATGGCAGTCCCTCAGATATGTATCTAAAAACAATAATGACAGAGATTATACAACCTTTTTGGGTAATATATTCAGCAATAATCTTTTCTTCTAGTTAGAACATGTTACTGTAATACCTATTATAGTACACCTAAAAAAAGGTTTCCTTCACATTCTGCCTATATCATTAGTAGGCATGAAAAAACATTGAACTACTCTCTTTATATTAGCCTTTTATGTACTCAAAGACTGTTGAACCCCATATAACCTTTTTTTTTTTTTTAGATTAAAACAAAACTAAAAATCTCAACCATGCTTCATGGATCCAATTTTCCAAATTTCATCCTAGTTGATCTCTGGATTGCTTCCAGCTGATCTACATATTTCTTTAACTATGGTGCCTCAGAGTAAAACACTATTTTAGCTGAGGCCTTACCAGTGCCAAGAAGAGCATGCTAATTATGTCGTCTTACATATACTGTTCATATACTGTTTCAAGCAGACAATTCAAGAGAATCTAGGATTACATTTATCTCTTTTCCTCAACAGCGTCAAACTGTTGACTCATTCGTGGCCCTCATTAATCATTAGATCTTTATCTGCTGTGCCATTCTGTGGTTATGCTTCTGATTTCACCCTCCCAAATGTAGTCCTGTGCGATTGTCTTTATTCAAATTTTTAATGTTGGACTTCAGAACCTCTCAAGATATTTTTGAATAGTAATTCTGTCCTTGAGCACATTTTGCAAATCTTTACATGGTGCCACCTACCAGGCTTATAAGTATATAATTATTTCTAATTCTACCATCTAAGCTTCTATTGAAACATTGAACAGAAGCCTATCCTTAGGAGCTGTGCAAGACGCCTTCAACGTCCCCCTAGTGCAGCTACCCACAACCAGGTGTGAGGTTTACTTTTAACAGTGGATTGAATTAGAATGTGATTTTAAATAGAACAGCTTTCCCCAGTTCATTTATGTGCACACAGGACGGTGTCAAAAGCCTTTCTTGGGTCAACATAACGGTCATTTCTACTGCTTTTCCTTATCTATTGGACCAGTTGCCTTATTCGAGAAGGAAATTAGATTAGTTTGACAAATTCATGTTGGATGCTTCTTATCACCTTATTCTCATGGTGTGTATCAATTTACTTCTCAAGAATTTGTCTCATTATCTTTCTCAGTATTGAACTTAGGCTGAGTACTCTGTAATTCCCTAGGTTTCTTCATTTCCCATTTTTAAAAGCAGAAATGGTTATAATCCTGCAAACCAGGGCTGCAGCCAACCACTTCTTAATAGTGTCAAAATCAGTGCCTGCTGTTAATGTCACATTTAAGAAACCTTACCAAATTTTTCTTTTCCTTTCCTTTTTTAAAACCATTTTCCATGATGGTAAGAATTAAAGAAGAGAAAGCCTTTAAACCAACCAGGTGCTTGGTTTAAAATAATTTTCAAAATGTATTTTGTAGTATCAGATGTCTGATCATTACCAGACATTGGAAGTATGATGCTGACTGTATTTCCATCTTAGGCTACATAGTTGCTGTAGGCCCTAGTGACTTAACCACTCTTGCAGGACCTCTCAGAGATAAGTCAAGAGCCCAGTAGGTATTAAGTGAATTTCAGCAAGCCCTAGCAACTTGCGTATGTATAACTTAGTCAAACATTCTTTTACTTGGTTTTTTTTTCCCCCTATTCTAGCATCTGTCTTTTCCCTGTTAAAAAATGGTATTGTTAGGTACCTGTCATTAATGTTTATGTGCATGTAAAGAACATGGCAAAATAAATAATAAAACATTTCACTTTGCTCAGTGTGTCTACTATTTGTCCCTCTACACTTCTCTTCCTCTAATTTCTCGATATTTATAGAACCTCTTCTGTTTTTTACTCCAGGAAAGTTGTAACTAATTTTGTGACTGATTCTTCCTAGTTTTATCCCTAGATGTTTGTGCCACTGCTTTATTACTCATCTCACTTCTGTGCCCTTGCTTTCATTCTTTGTAGAATTTCCTTTTCAATATTCAAGTCACTAGAGAATTCCTGATGCAGCTATATTGGTCTCTTACTACTTATCTGTCTTTCACATCAGGATGGTTTACTGGTACACCTACAGCACTGTTTCATTTACTCACAGGTTTATTTTCCTTATAGTGTCTTCACATGGGACAATTCTTATCAGCACCCTGAATTGCTGCAGTATATAGTAGTCAATTTTTTTTACTAGCTTCATTTAAAAAACAAAACAAAACTGGTGTGCTTCATCTGACATTTTTCACATGAGAAAAATAACAGGTTTAAAATAGATAATGTGTGGCGCTAAGCAACTTAATTATATCCCACTTTAAAAAATTACTTTGCCAATGAAAAAAGGCATGTCAGGATTTCAGCACAATGATTTATGATTCTGTCATAGTGACAGATGTTCTTCATGTATCTCTGACATTGTAATCTGGAATCAATGTGCTTTTTTTCATGTTTGCTGGTAAAAAGAAATGCACTATATGAATACAATGTTATTTGTCTTCAAGGCCTTACCCTACATTAGCTTGGAAAACTGGCCAGGTTTTGAGATGCGCTGTATAATAAAAACACTTTAATCCTGATACTGTACCAAAAAACAAGCACTGCAGTTTGGGCCGCCTTACTGGACAATTACCAGGCTGATACACTCAAATCCAGCAAGGGTCTGGCATGCTGTTGTGCTCCTCTGAATCTTGGCAAACTTCAGCTGCCGTCTCCAGCTTCTTGGTTCATCCTGTGGGCTGAGATTCCTGATCTTAAGTACTCCTTGTCTGCATTCAGGATTTATTACCCATACCTCCTGGCTGCTGAGATGCAGAATTTGAGCCTAATGGGAGAGAGAATCACTGAAGCATGAACAGAGAAAGGCATTGACTTATAGAGGAAGAGAAGTGACAAACTCTACCAATCAGGATCTTCTTTTTGCCATTCCTCATCTAACACTGCAATTCAATAAGCCTCTGTCTCCAGCCCTTTCCTAGGTACAAGAATTGTTCTTGGCTCCCATTTTCCACATAAAGGAAAAATTCTCTCTGCTGAGAGAAGCAGAAGGACCAAGACTTTAGTTCAATAAAATAGTGGAGTGATAGACACACTTTCTGAAGTTTTGCTGTTTGGGTGGAATAACATCTAAGTTCTCCACTAGCCCAGCTCAGGGACTGCACTTCTTCACAGTATGGCCCCATTGGTGACAGCTTGTATGATAAACATAGCTGAGGTTCAAAAGTTCCCCAAAACATCTCTCATCTTCCTGCCACAGTCCCTATCAGTTTCTTATTGTGAGGACATTGCTCTGCAGTCCAGATCTCTAGTTATGTTTACTGGTTTGCCTTGTTCAACTCTGAGGTCTCAGAAAAAGGTGCAGAGAACCATCATCCATAAAAGGAAAAAGTTATAGGAAAATCCCTTTTGCCAAATACAATTTTATAATCTATCTTCACTAGGAAAAATGTTGTAGATTCACTCATAAAAATGTAGTGAAATGTTGCATCAAAGAATATTCATTAACAGTGAACTCTCCTGGCTGGCGCCATTTTATGAACTTTTTGATAAGCTAGGCTAAGGAAAAAAATCAAATAGAATGGTTCTGCACTGAGGGAGCAAAAGATGTTAATGCATCTTTCTGATCTCTACTTTCCATGAATGAGATAACAAACAGGTGCAATCATCACCAGGCAATTCAAATCCAACATTTAAAGACTGACTTCATGATTATTGTCAACAGAGGATGACATTGCTATATTCTGGGGGTTCCTGAAAGCTGCATTACGTATTAAACCAAGTCTGCCCTGCTTATTTCTACTTCCTGAGTAATAGTAGCATGCATGATAAGTAAAAGGAGATGATCTACTGTAGAAGATGTCTGAAGCCTTCATGAAGATGGAGTTTTATTAAGAAAAGGCACAGCTACATGGGTAGGGACCCAACAGAAACAAAATGAACTGTGTGTGCTGAGGGATGCTGGGATTCAGGCCAGTTTGGGAGCTAGAGAGGCACATGTGTGGATCTCCAAGGCTGCTGAAAACCCCTCTCCCCTTGTCTAAACCAGCCCCACAGCTTCCAGATCACAGCTGGTGCACGGGACACAGGTGGAAAGCAAAGGCGGAGAAGGTTTTTCTAACCATAACTACCCACGTGGTCATGGTTTGAAATACTCAACCACAGCTAAACTTAGCAAAACTAGAACATGAAAGAAAATTACTTACATGAAAGCTACAAAATAGCTTGTTTTCAAGATGATAGAGCTTATCAGTGTCAGTTCTGCAGAGCTTCAGACACCTGCAAAATTGAAGACTCAGACTCTATTCTTTAGGGTTTAGGAAATCAACAAAAGTTAACCTTTAGTTAATGAATATGCAAATAATTCACTATTGTGGTGCAAATATAGAAATCAAGTTTCAAAGATGGCTACTATTTCCTCTCTTTCTGAGGACTGCAGATCTTTTAATTTACTTCATCTTTTTTTTAAAAATGCAGATGACATTGTTCAAAGATTTATACTTGCAAAAACAATACATTTGTCAGCTACTACACAAACTTCTTTGGGTTTGAAATATTTACAACGTGGCAGAAAAGCAAAGTATGAATGCAGTTCTTTGTGTTATTGTAAAGCTGTTCTGTTTACAAAATGTTCTTTTTCGTTTTTCAACATTTTGCAGAAAGCCAGAAACAGTAAGCAGTAATCATATTATTTCTTTTTAATCATACAACCTTAAGTAGAACTCTTAAGGAAAAAATAATAGTAGTAATTCTTGATCATGGCCATGAACAGACATATTCAGGTACTTTTAAGTCACAGCCATTCTATCTTAGCAATTTGGTTCATAGCAATAGAGTAGTTTTGAAGCAAATACTCAGACTGTCCCCATTTGTCATATGTTAGCTGATTTCTCAGAGTGGTGTTGGTGGGCACAAAGCAGATTCTTCTTGAGTGAAACCAGACCAGGAGCTTTGCTCCACAGCATTTCAACACTCAGTGGAGTAATTAGTAGTTAGTTCTAAATCCTTGTGTGAACTTTGCATCACAAGGACCTCCAGTACATAACTAAGGTACATGTATTTTCTGAAGAGTAGCCTCGAACCCTGAAGGAGGTTGCATGGTCAGGTACTGCATTTATCTTCCTATTTGCTGCCAGCTGCCCATCCTCAACTGCTTTAGCAGTGTCTATCCTGCTGCTTTATCCTCATTCATCCAGATTTCAGATCTGAAACATTTCCCTTCTCATTTCTCCTGCCTTCTGTTGCTGAACCTGTCCTTTTTGTGTTACTTTACCCCCACACTTCTGTCTCCTCTGGAAGCTCCCTCTTAACTCCTGCCAAAAAACTCAGGTAGCTGCAGTCTGCACCCTGAAGATATGACGTTTCCCACAAACCTGTACCATGAGAGAAAGAGGAATTTCTCAAGGAGCAAGATAACACAGTGGTAATCTCAGAGGTTGAGCAAAGCCTTACAATGTATGTAGTTGTATCTGTAGTAGGCTGGAAGCAGAAGGAGAATATGATTCTTGTCAATTTAGGAAGACTTGGAGACCCTCTTAGGTGTCACCCACAGCACTATTGAAGACAAAATCTCCATAACCTCTTTGCCCATGGTGTACCTGATCACCTCAAAGGAATTAGTGACCAAGGAGTAATGGTCGGAGGTTGCAAGATTCTAAAAGATGGCAATCATTTATTTGGACACAGCTATGGGTTCTGAAATCTCACATGAGGATGGTGAAGGTATGGCACCAACTCACAGAAGAGGGCCTTGATGATGCCCTTCATAATCCAAAAGTCTTGTGCCCACCACTGGTTATCCTGTCTATCTGTCACGGTCAACATAGTGCCAATATTAACACTTATTTTAAAATTTGTATTCCATATTCAAAAAACACTGCAGAATTTGAGCCTCAACAAAGGATTATGGAGGGACAGTTGCATTTTTATGCTCTTCAGTGACATCAAACTGCTCAAATAAGATCTTCCCAGAGCACTGCAAACATTCCTAGAAAAACAGAGCTTAAAACATTGCCATTACAGTACTGGGTCAGCCCCTTGGCTGCTCTAGTCCATTGGGTAATCTCGGGTGGAGAGTAAAGCCAAATATCCATGAGTAAGTCTTGTGACTCAACTGCTGCTTCAGTAATTGGAGGTGCCTGAACATACATTATTGGAATTTTGTCAGGCAGTGAGGATCTTTTAGCATATCTCCACAAAGTTTTTACCTCTAACAAAATCAAAAATGTTTAATATGTGTGCTGGTTTTGTCTGGGGTAGAGTTAATTTTTTTCACAATGGCTAGTATGGGGCTGTGCTTTGGATTTGTGCTGAACACAGAGTTGATAAGATAGAGATGTTTTTGTTATTGGTGAGCAGCACTTACACAGACTCAAGGCCTTTTCTGTTTTTCTCACAGCCACGCTGGCAAGGAAGTCGGGAGGAGACACAGCCGGGACAGGTGACCCAAACTGACCAAAGGGATATTCCATACCAAATGACATCATGCTCAGTATATAGAGTGGGAGGAAGAAGGAGGAAGCAGGGAAATGTTTGGAGTGGTGGAGTTTGTCTTCCCAAGTACAGTTAACATGCAATGGAGCCCTGGTCTCCTGGAGGTGGCTGAACACCTGCCTGGCCATAGAAAGCAGAGAATTTATTCCTTGCTTTGCTTTGACTATGTGTGCAGCTTTTGCTTTCCCTATTAGACTGTCTTTATCTCAGCCCACAGGTTTTCAAGCTTTTGTCCTGATTCTCTCCCCAGTCCCACTGGTGGGGCAGAGAGCGAGGAGCTGCATAGTATTTCCTTGCTAGCCAGGATTAAACCATGACACCATGTTACATCAAATCTGTCTTTCAGCTACAACAGCTCAAATCTGCTACTTCACTGAAGTCCTGCTCAATTCCTTTTTAATTACATGCTTAACGTATCAACAGCTTACTGATAACAAAACCTGAGAAAATGGCTTAAAATAATTATAGGCAGTTTTCAATCTTTTGAACTCAAAGGATGCTAACCTAAGGAGACAGCAGCCAGCAGGTTACCTACCAACTCCTTTGATCATTTCTGTGTTTGCTTGTTGTCTGGAGAAGTGGATGTAAACACTCACTAGAAATGCTACAGCCTCTTCAGTCCTCCTCCGAGAGAATCTTCCAGTGTTACTTCACTACAAATACACACTTTCTGTCTGGATTCTTTGTAACTGTGAGGCAATATTATGATTTTTTTTCACCACTCTGGATTGATGAGAAATCAGGTGCCTTTTATTTTCAGTTAAGTCTAAAGATGAGATATGAGAAAAACGGAAAAGAATTGTTATAATTCCTGTCATTTAAAAAATATTAATATGGGCCCCATCTCTCTTTTTCTCACTATAATTTTTTGATTGTGAAGAATAGGTCACTGTATACTAGTGGAAATACAAACACTTCATTTTGAGATAATTCATTTAATTTTCCAGACTGGCTTCCTTTTCAGGTCTCTTCATTACCCTGTTAGCCACAACCAGCCTCTGCACATCCTGTGCTCCTCATCAAAATGCATTTTCCTCAGCCCACAACCCCTCACCTACAGCCCATTTGCCCTTCGACTGGGGTATTATGCACTGCCTCAGTAACCTCTTCTATATGCGCCATCCATATCTACACCAAGCCGCTCCCTCTGTACCCTTTTCTTTCTCATCCTTTGTTGAAGCCTGCATTTATTTTCAAAGGCTCCTCTACTCAGCCTTTTATGTGTGGTGCTTTAAACCCTTTTATTCCCCTGAGCATTCCCAGCTATCCATTCTTTCCCTGAGAGGGAGGTGGATCTTCCTTGAAGTCATTATTCAGGGAAAGGAGACTAAGCCCCATTATTTGATTGATTTCACTAGTCATTGAAATGAATTGTACGTAGGCACAACTAGCAAATGCTTGTTAAAATGGTAAATTTGATCATTTCTTTTCAGTGATAGTGGGAGAACATAAAAATCACAAAATGAGTAACAGAGCAAAATGGCAAGAATTACGTTTTGTCCTTTGAAATAATATTAAATGACAACATAAATCCTATAGAAATACTTATGGGGTATTACTATATCTACCACGAGTTCATTATGTCTTACATTATTAGAATGAAAGGCAAAGAAATGAGTGATTAGATGTTAAAGCTGCACCATTTTTATTTAAGCAATTACATTACTTGCAGTGCAGTGTGCCAGAGAAATGACTGGTTTGATGACAGATCTCCTTTTCTATTACAAAGCCCATCTTAAAATAATTCTCAACAAGACAAAGTCAGATACAAAATATCTTTATAAATGTGGGGGAAATGAGAAATTATTCTGATGATCTAAATTTGCCTAAAGCACTTGCTTGTATGACAAAATCACTGCAATAATTTGTCTAACTTAGTGGTTTCATGCAGACGAGGTTGAATGTTTAAATAGGGTAGTGATTAGGACAGGAAAGACAGTGACAAAGCTCTTCAAACAAAAGCTTGCCATGATCTGCCTCACTTATGCATTGTTTCAGTCAATACCAGAAATCTTGTACCTTAGTGAGGGAAAAAAAGAAAAAAATGTATTTTTTTCTTAAAAATAAAACTGTCTACCATCAACTTATTAAAAACATAAACAATTTCCTATTATACTTAATTGAAAGGTGTTGGAAAAATGCTACATTGGCTTCAAATGAACAGGCTAAGTTTCCATTGCCAAATATTTGGGTGTGATTTCCAATGGTTTTATCAGAATTGGACCTGTAATCAGTGAATGGAGAGAAAAATATGGAGAAGAACATAAAGATTCCAGTCATGTCTGACAGCGTCTCCAAACAAGCCTATGGCCAATTGCTGGAAGTATGGTTGGAACCCACACCACTAAATTTTGCCAGGCAACTGTACTAAGGACAGACATCCTATGTTTGGAGACCTCATTCAGGCGTTAATGTGTTCTGTAATAATGTTAACACTGAAATTTCCTATGGGCTCAGCATTTGTTAGCGTCTGGCCCTGGTCCCTAGCTTTGCTCAAATGGAGGAAAAGAGGCTGCACTAACTCACCACTTCTCCCTGGCCAAGGACTTCCCTCCAGCACATCCCCAGAAGCATTACAGCCAGTGCAGTGCCAAACCTTTTGCCATCACCTTTTGCAGCTCCAGTCATAGGGGTGTCTCAGAGATGGCTTCTGTGCAGAAATCCCCAGCTGCCAAAAGCCTCCTAGAAGCCATGGGAAAAGGTACAACATTACTTCAAGGACTACATTAAAACATTTTTTGAAGTATTATTGCAATTGGACCGTGGACTAAATTGCCATAAGGCACTCCCTTTAGTAGTGCAAGCTTGATTCCCATGAGGGACTGTTTCTCCTTGGAGGTTAATCCTTCGATTATGTATTCTCTGTCTCAATAACTTTATTATACACTTAACAAGAACAGAGTCATATTTCATACATCTCTTTCTAGCAGTGATCAGGAAGCACCTTGAAACTGGTTGTTATTTTTAAGTTTACCTATGTTTGCATGCAGTTTGCTAACACTTCCCAGACTAGACAGCAATGACCCTTTGTTCCATGTTAAGCCCTGAGCTTATCAGAGCTGTGGCAGTGGGTCTACCTTTATCAGAGAAGTGCTCGTTCCTTGGTTGAAATTCCTTAGGTCTTTCTGAAGCCATCTGGGAATAGTGTCTGAAATAAAAGGTCACTCTCACTGAAGTCTATGCGAAGCAGTGATTGCAGCAAAGCAAGTATCCTTCAGAATGTAGTGCCTTCCATACACCAGTCTCTTATATGCATGCAGAGATACGTTTGCATAACTTGTATTATTTATGCTCTAGACTTCATTGGTTTTCCATATTAAAATGTGATGATTTCGTATTCATTCTGTGGCAGCATATGCTGATCATCCTGGAAAATATTAATAATTTTTCTACTGTTTCTATTTTATGCAATCATTGTTCCATCATTTCTATCTTCACAGTAGATAAAAACCTACCCACTGGTGTCATTGTAAGATGATAGTCTGCTACCAGGTCCTTACTAGAAGCATAAAGCACTGTTCAAAAAATTAATTTAATAAGGAAATAGAAACTCAGCAACAGGAAATACTATTATAGACTTTAGAATACCAAGAACATAATTAGTACTGTGGCATAATGACGAAAGAAAGCAATAAAATAATTTTACTCCATTCTGTAATTTTTAAAATGCTATAAATTAGCTTGTCAGTAGGGAAGGGTTGGTTTCTTCTCTTTAAATTTTGTCTGTATGCTTCTTAGGGTTATTTTCTCTTTAAAAGAACACAGAATGTAGTGAATACTGTACAAATGAATTTTGAATTCACATAGCACATGAATGATTGTATTTTTTCAGGTTGAGAATTTTACAATTAGGAAAGTTTATAGTGTCTGAAGAATCACTGGTTCTGTGGTCCCAGGAAAAATCGTGGGACATGAGCATTTGATCTGTTGTCTCTGCAAAGCCATGGAGGCTCAGGAGGGCAGAGATAATAGCATCACTGTAACAGCCTTATCCAAAGCAAAGAGAAATTACATGGTGCCAATTTTAAAAATTCAGAGTGACAAGAAGAACCAACATGCTTGATATATTTAAATTTTGTAGAAAACAAAACCTAATATCTTATAAAATAGTCACAAAATCACAGAATATGCTGAGTTAGAAGGGACCTACAAGGATCACTGAGGCCAACCCTTAGTCCTGCACAGGACCATGCCCAAGAGTCACACCATGTGCCTGAGAGTATCATCCAAACACTTTTTGAACTCTCTCAGGCTTGGTGCTGTGACCACTTCCCTGTGGAGCCTGTTACAGTTCTCAACCACCCTCTGGGGGAAGAACCTTTTTCTAATATCCAACTTAAACCTCCCCTGGCACAACTTCAGGCTATTCCCTTGGGTCCTGTCACTAATCACCACAGAGATCAGTGCCTGCCCCTCCTCTTCCCCTCACGAGGAAGCTGTAACCGCAATGAATCTCTCCTTGTCTTCTCTTCTCCAGGCTGAACAGACCAAGTGACCTCAGACACTCCTCATATGGCTTCCCCTCTAGACTCTTCAACTGTCTTTGTGGTCCTCCTTTGGACACTCTCTAACAGTTTAATATCTTTCCTATATTGTGGTGCCCAAAACTGCACACAATAGTCAAGGTGAGGCCACATCAGCTCAGAGTAGAGCAGGACAATCCCCTCCCTCGACCGGCTGGAGATGCTTTGCCTGATGCCCCCCCAGGACAGGTTGACCCTCCTGGCTGTCAGGGCACTGCTAACTCACATTTAATTTGCCATCAACCAAGACCCCCAGGTCCCTTCCCATGGCACTGCTTTCCAACATCTCATTCCCCAGTCTGTCTGTACATCCAGGATTGCCTCATCCCAGGTGCAGAATCCGGCACTTCGCCTTGTTGAACTTCATATGGCTGGTGATTGCCCAGCCCTCTCATTTGTTGAGGTCTCTCTGCAGGGCTTCCTTGCTTCAAGGGAGTTAAGAAAAGTTGTAAAGCAATAAACCACAAGATCAATTAGAGTAAAGACATATTAGAAACAGAAGCACAACACAAAGGACACCACGTGCCATCTCCACTTTCTGCTGATGGCCATGTCAAAACATTCCCTGCACTACTTGTTATTTCTACCCTATATTAAAAAGCCATTATTTAAAGTGCTGATCAGAGAGATCATTGTGCCACAGATCTGTTCCAAATCCTTGCATTTTTTTGTTTCAGAAACAGAACATATTGGGCCAAATCCAGCTACTACATGTTAAACAACAGCAAAGGCACTGAAATCAATGTGCTTGCTGTATCAATACTGCATTTGCTCTGTATCCATTTTGCTGTTGGATATTTATTTTCTATTGACTGTATTTATAATATATCTACAATAGAAAACTGAAACATATTGGAGGATATCCAATTCTGGAAGCAATCTGATTCTCTGCTTTTTATTTACCTTTACTATTTTCAGCAGGATACTGGAATTCAAATTTTTTTAGAAAGAGAACAGTCAACCTGAGCTTCTATATATAGTCAGTCAGTTTGCTGCTGTTTCATTAAAACCTAATGTAGACTGAACTAGACACTTCCCTGAACTAATTAATCTGACATGGAAAACTTCAGAATACTGAATCACTTATTGTCTCATTTTATATTAATAAATGTAGGCAGATGTATTGACATCTTATAGACTCATGTATTTATGGTATAAAAACACAGTAGAGAAGTAAAGACAAGACCTGACAGAGACACAAGCTTAGTGGAGCCGAGCTTGGTCAAGAAATGAGACTCAGTTCTTTTATGAGAAAGGTGTACAGGAATTCTAGGTCCAAAAGATGGGATTTGATTATGGGATTTAAGGCAACTCAGGAAGCCATTTAGTCTGTTCCAGTCGGCAAAGGCAGCACAGGAGAAGGAGCTCACTGCCAGCTGTGGCAAAAGAAGAGTGAGAAACACAATATTTAAACAATTCCATAAAAAGCCTGTGTTCAAAGAGTGTTAGGGTTGCAAAGTTGGATACTCAGACGGTAGGAAATGCCTGATTAAAAGTTTCCCAGACAAATTAAACTTGTAACTCTTATGTGCACTGTAAAATCTTTAATTACAGGATAACATATACCTTTTCACATGCCACCTTTGGCCTTTCTGTGCACATGGAGGGCATACATTTAATGAGCAACTATTCATTAGCTTGTTTTATCCTCATTGTTAAGTGCATGGCCTCATGCCTCATTTACTATATCCTACTCAAACTCTGCCCTGAATACACAATTAGTAATATCCTCATAGGATCACCCATGTAATTTATTGCTATACTTCTTAGTACTTCACAAACATTAATTAATATCTCCAACTTCCTTGAAAGGACATGTCATTTTTCTTATTTTATGGTTTGGAATAGTGTGAGATGACAAAGGACTGATCTCTTTTTTTCAGGAAAGCCCACATTCCTGTGTGCTGGATTCCTATTTGTGTCTCCTCTTGAAGAAATTACCTATCACCATTTCCTTTTTCCATCCTGGTGTGAAGCTGGAACCCCTTCTCCTGCAGGAGTACCATGACAGCCATCTGTCAAGCCAGTGAATCTCTGCCCTTGATTATTTTGGGGCAAGTCTATCCCACCGGACCATCTGCAGCCTTAAGTCTGACCAGGCATTTCCCTGAAAAAGCAAACAACCACCTGTCCAAACCTACTGCTTAAAAGAGAAAGGACCACTGTGCAACCAGAATCAGGGAAGTGTTCCTTCAAACGAACCAGGCAGTCCTGCAGGAGATGCTGCTCCCACAGCTCCTCACGTGTTAGTGCTAGAGGTGTTCAGCGAGGGTTTGAGTGGCTGCTCCACTTGGCTGCAGCACACAACAGGGGAGCAATGCCATTGGCCACAGCTCGTGGCTGCCACCAGAAGATTCCTGACTTCCTACCTTGCACGGTGAAATGACAGCAGTTACAGCCATTACATCCAGCCTGCCTTGCTGTGGTCTTGCCGGCATGGAGCGCATGGCCATCCCATTCAGCCAACCTGGTATACCTGCTCCTCCCATAGCCACAGATATGGCATTGCTTTGGGCCCTTCCCCCTTGTTGCTTGGAAGAGAGCCTCTCCTCTGTGCAAGCCAAAATGTGTCCCTTGAGCAGTAGACCCTGTTAAGTTGTAGCTTTCCTGGGCTCATAGCCCATCACTGATTTCCTGACAAAGTGAGTTCCCACACCGATGCACTTACTAGGACATTGCTGCTGGCCTGGGGAGAGATACAGGGGGTTCAGCTGATTCTCCCACACTTCTAGAAAGATTGGCACTGTACAGCAGGCAAGGTTCGACTTCATCCATGGCTCTCTCCTTGTCACCCATGATCACCCCAGTGCCTGGAGACACTAGCTCATGGAAGTTATAAAGATGCTCTGGATCTTACAGCAGTGTACACCTCTAAAGTTGGTCTGGCGAACTCTCCGTTATAAACCCCAAGGAGATTATCCTGAAGGACACAAGTGTACTGAGCTTCTTTTATAGTGATCCTGCACATTCACATGAGCTATCTTTAATTTTAGAAGTTCATATTTGCGTTGCTCCCTGTGAAGCAGAAACAAGCCTGAGTTGCTGCTGTTATGAGCTGGAAATCTTTTCAGTAGAAAATGGCATCCTCAGTCCTCTGCCTCGGCAGACCCATTAGATCCCAAGTCCAGCAGAAGCCCTGCACTTATTTCTGTGAAGAGCAGTAGTAGAAATATCAGCCTCAGTATAGACAGAGCACAAGTAGAAAATGTGTCAATGTGGGAGAACAGGAAGAAGTGAAAGAAAAAGGGATGATAGAAAAGCATGTGTTAATGGCACCTAAATTTGTGGGTTGTAAAGTCTCCAGAATAATTATCTACAGTGTTTATAAATACCAAAATTATAAAAAACAATTGGTAGCTCAAATGCAGCAGCCTACACCCAGAACGAGAGACAAAAGACCAATGAGTTAATCAGCAATTTTACCTAATGACTCACAGAGGTGGGACAGAGGGAGAGACAAACGATTCAGTCATTGGCATCTTTTGAAAGGTGTAAAGACACATTCATAAACCAAACACATGGCTGCCTTTAATAACAACCCGGAAGACAAGAAGACACTATGAGAACTAAATAGCTCTAAATAGCTAGCTTCCCTAACCCTT